TACAATATGTACCAGTTCCGACTTACATACAAATTCAACTTAAGAACAAACCTACAGTCCCTATCTTGTACGTAACCCGGGGACTGCCTATAATAACAAACAAAGTTAATACTTTTTTTCCTCTTCTATACTGTACATAATTTCATACCACACCACATTTTTGCTTATTTTGTACTGAGCAATAAAATCACTTCCAATTCTTATTTCCACTGAAACTCCTCTTTGCTTTTTCACTGACCAACACTGTCTTAAGTGTTTTATTCTCTTTGCTACCAGCACATGAGCACCGTTATGTTAGCTTCTGAATACAAACTCGCTGTTTTTTTCCTCAGACACAAAATTGCTGAACCAAAATAGTTTCAATTTTCTCAGCATTTTTCAAACTTAAATTACTCTTATTGTTTTAGTGTGGCTTTCTTAGAGAGTATTGCGGGCCCCAGAAGTGAGTGATTGCAAATATACTGGGTTAGGCTCCACTTCAGAAAAGCATTTAAGCCTTTGCTCAGTTGTATGTTGTCTTGAAGAACATTTTCCAAAGTCAGGGCCTTAGCCTGGAACTCTTTCTCTGCCTTCTGATTCACTCATCTTTTCTCCTCTGCCTTCTACTCTACTCATTGGTCTTAGTATCTCTTTAACTGGTGGTCTTAAAGAAACAATAGTGGTGCCATAGTTTTCTCTTTGGCTTTAATTTCTCTCTCAAATTAGTTTTGCTTTCTTGCTGTTGCATCTATTTTTAAATTTGACTAGAAACAGACAAGAGAAAAGTGAGCCCACTAGATCCAAGTGTACCAATTGGTGGTATAACATGTCAGTCTGAATCAGGGACTGGGAGTCTCCAACATTAAATTTTACTTCATAAACCATCATTCATGTAATGTTAAAATTGATAAGTCACACAATGAAAAGTTATCAAATCCTAAAAGTTAATCTTTCCACTCCATCTAACTCAGATTTATAATGTTACAGTGACATTCTGGTATAGTTTAAAACATACATTTATTAAGGAGTACATTAATGAAGGTAAGAAGACGGTACACAAGTGTCACGGGCGGGTAGGGGGTAACCAAGTATGGAGAACACCTTTAAAATGATAAGCTAACACTTCAGCGGATACTAGCTGGAGAATTGAATTAAGCCATTCTTAAAGACATCTTTAGAATTTTCTAATATGCAAGTGCAACATCAGACTTCAAATGTTGATAACTTTAGAACAATGTAACCCATTATTTACACTTTCAATTGTTTTTCCTTCTTTGGTAGAGACAATAAAACAAGACAAATGTTAGAAAGTTTCTGTCTGCAGCCCCCCAATTGCCCCCTCTCCGCAGATGGCAGCCTGCGGCAAGTGCAGCCGGTCTGATGGCCGAGTGCTGTGATATGCCCAGTGTGGGTACTCCGGGCACTCCAAGCCAGGACTGCTTTGCAAGCGGGGCAGCCCTGAGAACTGTCTGTCCGGGGTGGGGGTTGCTGAGACAGCATCTCCACGCTCTAAGTCCTCCTCTGATGCCCTGCCAGCATTGCTTCCGGCCATCCTTAAGCCTGGTTCAGGGTCCACTTAATGTGGACATGCTAGTTCGAATTAGCAAAATGCTAATTCGAACTAGTTTTTTAGTCTGGATCCGTTAGTTAATTCGAACTAAGCTAATTCGAACTAATTCGAACTAAGTTAGTTTGAATTAACGTTGTAGTGTAGACGTACCCTGGGAGAGGTTGCAAGTGTTTTGGAGTATAGGACTGTAATTCAAAATGATCTGGGCACAAACTGGAGAAATTGTCTGAGGCAAATAGGATGAAGTTATGGAAGGACATGTGCAGAGTGCTCCACTTAGAAACACAACAAAATGGGAAATGGCAGCCTAGAAATGAGCACGACACAAAGGAATCTGGGGGTTATAGTGGACCACAAGTTAAATATGAATCAACAGGGAAACACGGGTGCAAAAAGAGCAAAAATGTTGGGAAATAATTCTTCTGTTCTACTCTATGCTGATTAGGCTTCAACTGATTAGGCCTCAACTATGGATAAATTGGAAAAAGTCCAGCAAAGAACAAAAAAATCATTAAAAATTCAGAAAACATGACCTATGAAGCAAGATTGAAAAAAAAAAAGGAGATTTGTTTAGTCTGGAGAAAAGAAGACAGGGGGACATGTTAACAGCTTTCACATACTGATGATAGGACAAAAAGCCGTGGGCTTAAACTGCAGCAAGGGAGGTTTAGGTTTGACATTAGAAAAAAAACATCCTAACTGTCAGGGTGGTGAAACACTGGAATAAATTACCCAAAGAGGTTGTGGAATCTCCATCTCTGGAGATATTTAAGGGCAGTTTGGATTAAGGATGTTACGTATCATGTAACTGACTAACTGAGTAATCGATGCATTTTTGCATTGACTATTCAATTAGTTGATAGGGCAGTACTGCCCTTTGAAATGGCACTGCAGTATTTCAAAGGGACAGCAGCACACCGAGTCCGGTATCAGCTGGGGAGTCCCCAGCTGTCCCCGAGCTCCACGTGGTGCTGCCCCTTTGAAATGCTGGGGCCATTTCAAAGTGGCATGGAGCCGTGGCCCTCCCCCCTTCCTTTGCTGCCTTTGCTTATCGGATAGTCGACTTGTCCTTAACATCCTAGTTTAGACAATCACAGTCAGGGATGGTCCTGCCAGGAGGGCAGGGGACTGGACTCAAGGCCCTTTCAGCCTATGATTCCATACTGTTTTCCATGGTAACAGTGTTGTGAGGGATCGGACAAAAGTCTTAATTATGCATTTCTACATTTGTTAGGGTTATATCTTTATCGTAAAACTAACCACTTTGTACTGATTGCATTGTATCTATTTGGCAGAGCAGCACCCAGCTCTGTTGATTATTTTGTTTCAGTTCTGTAGGAACATAAAACATGCATTTACAGTAGAGTCTCAGTTATCTGACTTAAAGGGGACCAACAGATGGTCGGATAATCGACATGTCGGATAATACGGTGAGGACAGCGTGGATGACCGGGGAAGATCAAGAAGGTCGGGGGCAGCACGACTGGCCAGGAGAGATAGGGATGGGTGAGGGCAGCGTGGCTGGCCGGGGAAGATCAAGAAGGTCGGGGGCAGCACGACTGGCCAGGAGAGATAGGGATGGGTGAGGGCAGCGTGGCTGGCCGGGGAAGATCAAGAAGGTCGGGGGCAGCACGACTGGCCAGGAGAGATAGGGATGGGTGAGGACAGCGTGGATGACCGGGGAAGATCAAGAAGGTCGGGGGCAGCACGACTGGCCAGGAGAGATAGGGATGGGTGAGGGCAGCATGACTGGCCGGGACGACTGGCCAGGAGAGAAAGGGGAAGTTGGGGACAGTGCGACTAGCTGGAAGGGATGGGGGAGCTCGGGGCGTCCCATGACCTTCAGGGCGAGGGGACGGCTGGGCTTCGGCATCCTGCCACATGGACCTTGTTCCCTCTTCCCTCTCTGCCTTTGTCTCCGCAGTGCCTGGTGCCTTCCCTTCCATGCTCCACTCTGCTGGCTCCGCCGCCCGCACAATTGCCTTGGGTGGCCACAGGCAGGTTGGATAACACGGAATGTCGGATAAAGGAAGGTCAGATATTCGAGACTCTACTATAAAATAATGTCCAAGTCAAAGGAATCTGGTATGGGGAATGATTTGGCTGGGATGTACATTAGGGCTTAATATGTATGCAACTAACCCAGTAGGTCCATTTTTTCAGTTTTCATTAAATAGTGCTCTGATCCTGTAGAGCATTGTCACCCATTGACCCAAAAATGGTGAGCACAGTCATCATCCTTTTATCGAGGGGAGAGGGAGGAGGTACAGGTGAGTATCTCCCAAGAACGGTGAATAGCAGAGCTGGGAACAGAACGTAGATCTCCGAACTGCATCCCAGTGGAGAGATTACAGTATGGTTGCTGTGTGCAACACCCTCCATGGAACCAAAGCATGTTGATCTCACAAAATGGGAGACAGAACCCCAGAATTTAGAACCTTTCTATCTGTGCACCCTAACAGAGCTCCACGTGCAATGCTACAGCTGAGAAAGTGGACACACCCTGGATATCTAAGCAGAAGACTATTGTATAGGATGAGAGAAACCATATTACTTCTGTCTACACCATTAGTGAGACCATTATCAGACATGATGTCCAGGCATCAAAAAGGGTTCAGAGAAAGGATAGTTAAGGTCTGGAAACTGTTTCCAATGGACATAGCCCTGCATGGTTACAAAATTGGGACATTCCATCCTCATCTGCAAACATGAGCCACGGATATCCACATTCACAGATATAAAGTGGATATTTGCAGATCTGAAAGCTCTACTAACAAGCTTCTTAACTCTCTTCATTGAGTTTACACCAAGAGAAAGTTAAGAGGCAATTTGATCACGGTCTGTTATTAACTACACGGAGAAGAGGCTGGAGAGGGATGGCAGGAGACAAATCGCTTGATCATTGTCTTCGGTCCACCCTCTGTGGGGCACCTGGTGCTGGCCGCTGTCGGCAGACAGGCTACTGGGCTAGATGGACCTTTGGTCTGACCCAGTACGGCCGTTCTTAAGTTCTAAGAGATGTGTCGGTAAGGGCTTTTTAATCAAGCAGAAAAAGGCATGATGAGATCCTTATGGTTGGAAACGACAAATTCAGACTACAATTAAGGTGCCAGTTTTTAACAGTGATGGCAAATAACTAATGAAAGAACTTACACAGGGAGGCTGTGGATTCTCCGTCACTTTTATTCTTTATATCCAGACTATATTTCTTAATGCTACAGATTAGACAGTAGTTGTGGGATTGATGCAAAAAGTCACTGGGAGAGGAGAGGTGTTAGCATTTTTCAGGAAGTCAGAATAAAGTGTCATAATGCTTCATTCTACTCTTAAAATCTATGACTCAAGTCACTCTCATGGAAACCTCCTAGTGAGCAGCAGGACAGAATGTCCAGGTTGGATAAACAGGGATGGTCTTAGATGGGGACCTTGTTTTATAACTCAGGTGACTAATCAACCTTGTCTGGCCTCTACGGACTGTCTTCTCATCCGTCCCACACCGTGACACTTACCAGTGCTGTTGCTGTGGTGATTTTCGTTCCTCCGGCTGCACCAACCACCATCTTAACCTTATTTGTTTTATCCACCAGGATTGTGGGACACATGGAGGACAGGGGCTGTTTACCTGTAAGAACGTGCACAGACATTAATTTGTGCTTAATTACATGCTCAGTATCTGGGTTCACCTCACCAGAGCCCGAGTAGGCTAGAAATACAGAGTGATGCTGCTGATGCTCTTTTGCAGATCCCAGATCTGCTGGCTCAGCACAAGAGTCTCCTCAGCTGCCCTAGGAGAGTCTGTCATTTTCTGAACCCCCTTTGATGGGGTGGGAGTGAAAACGACAAGGGCTTGAGCCAACTCCTGACAAACGGGCATTCCTCAGCATGCCTGCTATTTGTCTGGGCTCACCCATACACTGGAGACCACGGTTCAACTGCAGAACTCAGCCCTGAGTAATGGGCCCTTCCTGGTCGCTGCCCTATCAGGGTGAGAATCTCTGTAGCCCTTGATCTGATTGGAGAGGCTTCCTGGCACTAAACCTTGGTGCTTCCCCATAGCCCCCATCTCATCTTCCTCAGCCCAGGATCCCTGCAGGCCATTCGAAAAAGGTTTACATAAAGGGGGTGTCCCTCTCCAAATCCATTCTGCCTGAAAATAAATGGAATCAAAGGAATAGACCTGGATTTAAGGGTTACCAAAATATGGTATATTCCCCCCCCCCCCCCCCCCCCAGGTATGGTGGGGGAGGAAGAACATACACATGGACACAGCATCATTTAAACACATTTAAATGTCATGCAAATTACTTACAGCCCACAGACTGTTGGAATGCTGCAGGGTTGTACACCCCTCCCCCCAACTTCCCTCATTCAGGCTTGCCCCCTCCCACAGCAGGGATGCCCAAGGCACAGTCATGGCACATTTCACTTAATTTTAACCTTTGTGAGGGCTTCGGACAGCCGGGGATAAGCAAGTCCCAAGCGTTTTCCTTGACACCACAAATACTTGTGCTCCTTTCAGCCCGCTCGTGCACACAGATCCCAGCAAGGAAACTGGATGTAGCGTACAGAACGTACGGGTTTCCCATGTTACAGGGACTTCAGACTCCCCGGAGCTATGTCTTACTGCAGAGTCTTAGGGCTTGCCTCCACTTACAGAGAGATTGAAACTGTGGGGACCACTCTCCCAGGGTTAGATTTAACAGATCTAGGAAGGACCTGCTAAATCAACCGCCGACAGTGCCCCCGTCAATCCCAGGACTCCACCAGGTCACAAGGAGCAAGGGACGTTGAGAGCAGAGATTATTCCGTAGGCTTCCTGCAATGGAGATGCCACAGAAATTCAACCTAAGGTACATCAACTCCAGCTACGCTATTCATGTCCCTGGAGTTGCATCTCTTAGGTCAACTCTCTCCCCCACTGCAGATCAGGCTTGAGAGAATGTTGCTCTCCAGCCGGCAAACAGCATTACTTTGACATGCAAGAGGCAGCCATGAGACTAGCTAAGAAGAGGGAGTAAAGTGCTACCTGGTTTGATGAAGTTTGCAATGGAGGGACGGACGCCAAAGTTATTGGTAATAAAAGGTGAACTGAAGTCATCCATCTCATCATTAAATATGATGCCACTCACGTTGGAGCAAACTTGTGAGCCAAAGCTGAAGAGAACAAGCAGAAGGGAAGGCACGTCAAACCCAGACTCCTGGACAAGCTTCAAGTAAACTGCCGATTACACAGAACTATTGTCTGGCAGAGTGAGGCCACACACCCTGCAAGGAATAGGCCCATAATGACAGAGCTCCTAGGTAAACTAACAGATGGGCCTTCCCCAGGCTTTGGGTCTCACTTGGGAAAACCTATTCTCCATCTCCTTTCACCTCACATGAGTATAGTAACCTTCGCTGTACAGAAGGCTTCCACGTACAGGAGTGGGAAACTATTTAAAGCCACTTCTCATGTGCACTACAGCAGGTGTGAGGGCAGCAGACAATCAGTCCCAGTATAAGGGGCAAAGCAAACCTCCAAATACCCAAATGTGAAGGCTGAACTCGGAATCCCAACTGCCCTAGGGCTATAAGTGCTGCAGTACAATCCATCATGGAGATCGGATCGGGTTGCATGCTTGGACCCAGACCCATCTCTGCCAGAACAGAATGCCAAGGCAGCAGCAGTCACATTTTCTCATCACTGATTACATCACTCAGTGACTGAATAAACTGCAACCGCCTTTATAAACTGGTCATGTCTCACACCCAATCCATTCAGCAATGCCACAGCCCAGCATGTGTTACGTTATAGGCATTTTGATAGGCTGGATGTTGACCTCACAGGTGGGTTAGACAGGAAAGATTCACTCTGACAGAAGCGAGGAAAAGTGGTCCTGGCTGCAGCCCGGTAACGAAGGATAAAGCCCTTGTTTATTAACTAGGGAACTATCTTCATAGCCAATGACAGTACAACACTCAATGTGCTGATAATGGGCAGAACAGCTGCAGTAAGTACACTTCCTTTGCTATGGCAGAAGAAAAGAAGACAGAGAGAGACTGATAATTCAAGGAAGTGTTAATTGAAAAGGGGTACTAGAGTGTGGCAGGGGATTTCCTGATGTCAGAGCTAAGGGGCTAGAAGAGGTCATTGCAAGAGTTAAACAAAAGTGGACTTGACTCAAACATAATGGAAACATCTAGTCCTTATATTTTATACGTCCAACTCAAATCACATGGGATTCAGCAGTAAGGGCCTAACTTGCGAAGTTGCCCTCAGCTTCCCATGGATTTCAGTGGCTGGCGGGTACTAATGCAACACCAGATCAGAGAAAACAAAGAACACAGAAGTCCTACCAGTACAGTGCAATCTATAGGACTCCAGCAAAAGGAGTTCCAGGCAACAATTCCTCCACCAACGACTAACCCGCAATGGAGAGACCAGTCCAGTGATGTTTATACCAGCCACAGAACTACTATAAAGATGGGAGAGCCGTACATGGAAGTAAGGTCTGGACTCATACTGTAAGTTGATGGTGCTGGTGGCGGACACAGCACTGCCATCATCAGCCACAACGGAGAGATGGGATGTACCGGCATTATCTGGATTGTAGTACTGTGGCTCATAGTAGTCAACTGGATGGGTTGTATTGTCAGTGATTCTCCTCCGTAGGCTATCCGCAAAGAACTCAGAGGTCATGTTCTTGAGCACCTAATAGAAGAGACAATCCCGCTCAAAGCTGACAATAAGTTTCAATTAAAACCATAAATTCTATGCTGGAACTCACATGAAATGGGGCACATCAGATCCTAGAGGGAAAAATGGAGGGTATCCAGCAAGGGAGCCACTGGCTTTCCATTGCCTGGAATCCTTTGTTCATTACAGAAAGGGGAACCCATGCTGTTAGACCAGCATTTCATGCTTTACTAAAGAGAACGCTGTACAGGCCAGCAACATTAATATAAACTGGTCTCAGTGATATCTTTCATTGTTAAAACACTTTATGGAAGCACCTTGTCACCCTCCCCATGAGGTAGGCAGACAAGTGGGATGTGTCTAGACTACAGGGTTTTGTCGACAAAACTATACCTGTGTCTACATTACTGCCAAGTTCTATCGACATAACGTCAACAGAACTCGGCAGTTTTGTCAATGGCAGTAAACCTCATTCTCTGAGGAATAACACCTTTTCGACAGAAGGCGTTATTGCATCTACACTGTCCTTTGCATCTACTCTCATGTCAACAAAGTGACTTGCTTTGTCGACAGAACTGGCTGTAGTCTAGATGCTCTTTGTCGACAGAAGCTTTGTTGGCAGTGTCTGTCGACAAAGCCTCTGTCAACAAAAGCCTGTAGTCTAGACATACCCGTGGAGTTATCCTGGATCATAGTTGATTATTGTTTGCACAGCATGTTGAACATGCTATGGCAGTGCAAAATCTTTTTTTTTTTTTTTTGGTAAATTCTCCTGCACATAACCCATAGACCAGTAGAAACATATGGCTTTACATTTGGATTCAGATCTTCATTTCATCAGCTTGCTGATGGCAAACAGAATTCTTTGAAGTGTCCTTGGCAATATTGGGGGTCCCTTGTCAGAGGCTGTAAGCCAGTCCCCACTCAGCTTTGATACTGTTCTGGACATGCAGAAAGGATAGGGACACAGTGACTTCTTGGCTATTTACCTCCTTGACATCGACAAATAATGGGTCTCCCAGTAAAGTCCTCTTGGCATATGCGAAGCGGAAGGCCTCCACAATACGGTGGTAAGTTAGACCCCTTTTCTCCAGGGTTGACACACTGTCACTGGAGAAATTATATCCTGTCAATAGTAGACAGCACATTGTGAACACGTAGCCAGTGGGTGGCAAACAGGAACCAGCACTTCAGGATGGTCAACCGGAAATAAGCCATTGTGAGAAAATACTCGCTGAAGGTATCAGCCCAGCCTCTGCTCCACAGCCACCACTGCTTGGGGTCTGACAGTCACCTTTATTTGTTCCCTTTCTACTACTGCTGCATGCAAGACCCTCCTCAGGAAAAACAGGCCCCTGTTACAAAGCACTGTAAACCCTGTAAGGAGAATAGCTCCTCTAGTTTCTGTTAGAATAACCTCAGGTGTCATGTGCAAGAATGGCAGGTAAGCACATTAAAAAAAGTGAAGTCACTTAAGTCCACGGTCTTTTAATTTCATATGCGGAAGCCATATATCCTACGTTTATGGAATTCGAGGACCAATTCACAGACATCTGAAGCCTCCTGCTAACAGTCTTCAGTCACCAGCCGCTTCAGAACCAAGGGAGAATTAGGAATGCTGCCGTTGGCCTACTGAGATTGGCCAACAGTAGGCCAATCTGTGGCAGAACCAAAGCAACTGGAACAGCAGACACTTGCTCTTGCCTGTACCAGTGACTCACCCAGATTTGCTCTTACCTTTCAGTATGTTGAGGATCAGTGCTAGCACTGGGCCACTCAGGGGGGCACTGGCTGTATACATGGTGAACTCCCCCAGCGTGATGTTTAAAGGATTTTCAGTCAGGATCGGAGTATAGTTTTTAAGGTCCTCCAAGGAAACGATGCCTCCTAGAACAGAGAGAAAAGCCATCTGTGCAGTGTCCAATATAGAAGTAGTGGGGCTCAGTGCTCAGTTTCATTTTTGGGCCCTCCCTGGGGACCTAGCCCCTCCCATTTTTCCTTCTTTTTTCTTCATCCTCCTAAATTATAAGTCATAGGTAGTAAATGAAAATAAAGTGCGGTGCCTCGATTGTTTTTATAGACTAAGGACATATCCAGACTACACCCCTCTTTCGAAAGAAGGATGTAAATTAGACAGATTGAAATTACAAATGAAGCTGGGATTTGAATTTCCCGCATTATGCCATTTGCATAATGGCAGCTACGCGTTTTCGAAAAAGGGCTTTTCGAAACTAAAACTGCTGTCCAGATGGAGTTCTTTAAAAATAAAATAATAATAATAATAAAAAAACACCTTTTTTGAAAGATCCAGGTATCTTTCAAAAAAGATTTTTTTTTTTTTAAAAGAACCCAATCTAGATGGCAGTTTTACTTTTGAAAAGCCCTTTGCGCCATTATGCAAATGAAGCGCAGGAAATTCAAATCCCGGCCTCATTTGCAAATTCAATTTGTCTAATTTACATCCCTCTTTTGAAAGAGGGGTATAGTTTAGACAAACCCAAACTTTTGAAAATTGCGGAGAGTCTCAGTGGACCACTTAATGATCTCTTACATATTGTTTGTACCATGAGCTAATTATTGTACAGTAATGTGTTTTGGATAAGATCACTTTAAGAAAAAAACATAATAACCTTTCCTCAGTTCTAGATGAATGCTTGTATTTGCATTAATCTAACATGAAAAATGTTTAAAATGAAATGCATAGATGACACATGAATGGAAAAAAATAAAATAAAAATAAAAGTTTCTTCCTCTGAAGAAACGTATTCAGATAGGCTTTTTTCCCCACATTTTTTCTTTACAAAATCGTCAGTTAAGTCATCATAAATAATATTATGTAAAGAGGTGCTTTCAATTGTCAATATTGCTGAACTTGTCAAATGTTCCTGACTCACCGCAAGTAATTTTAACTCATTTCAATACAGAAAAAGAATGTTCACCAGAAGCATTTGTGGCAAGTATTGTTAAAAATATTTTCAGAATGGTTTCTACATCTGGAAAGGTGGCTGGCAAACCATCATATGCAAATCTATACTGATCTATTGGTGATCTCGAAGCACAGACCTCATCATTTTCGATAAAATAAATTAAATGTTTTACTTCATCTCCAAAAAGATTTGTGTCTATATCTTCTTGATAGAATTCACTTAATTTCTTACTGCATCTTTATTCATACTTCTGTCAAAAAACATGCAAAATAAATCAAGTTTTCTTTAGAGATTCTTTAGAGAGTCACCTCTACTCTGCAATTGTACTATTATTGTGTCACAAATAACATTGACAGTCTCAATGATGATCTTCTCTTTCCCCTTTAAATTGATTTCATGGTCTCTAGTTTCATTGAAAAATAACGTCCTGTTTTTTACGCTTCTCATCAAATATATCAGAGGAACCTAAATCTGCTGTTAATATTAGTGCCTCCACTTCCACAGGCCTCTAGTCATTTCAAACTTCCATGTCAAAACTTGTAACTGAGCCTTACAATTGTGCAGCATTCAATAAATTTGCACCAACTTTTTGCAGTGATTTGCTAACAGCATTCATTTTTTTAAGTAAACAGTTCCACAAAATAGTAAAAACACTAATAGCATACTTTTTAAACTTTTCTGCCAAGGATTTTGCTTCAGTTTTCACATATGGTTTTTCAGAATTTGATGTGGCTATGTCGAATAAGGTTCTCTTTAAAACATCATAGCTCAATTGCAAAGTCGAAACAGCATCTGCGCAAGCAGACCACATGGTATCACAAATTTTTTGACTATCAAATGTTTTCCATTTGTTTGCTCCAAGCATGATTGTAGCATACTCCTTTGATGTGTGGAAACCGAAAAAAAAGCATATGTGTTTTGAACAAAGTCAAAATAATGTGTAGCTTTCTCTCAAGATGTAGCTGTAGCATTGCAGATTAAATTTAAGGAATGGCTGAAACACAGTATGAATAAAGCAGAGGCATTTGCAATGTTCAGTTTTGCCTATAAAGCTGAATATTTTCATGCCATATGTACAGTGTAATCAAAGCTCCACACTTGATATCCAAACCTAAATTTGCATTGATTTCTAAAACAGTTGTCTCTAGACATTCAGAAATGCGGGGGTTTAGTGGAACACAATAAAGAAATCAGACTACAACTTCACTATTGCCGGTCACCTCTTAAAATTAATGTTAATTGGTCTACATGATTCACATCTGGTGTTGAGTCTATTATGGAATAGTACTTGGCATTAGTGAATTGGTTTCTGAACTGCTCTGTCATTATGGTAATGAATTCATTGTAGTTTTGGTGTCTAAAAAGTTGGTGTTCCCTGAGCCACTATACTGATAATTTTTCAAATGTTCATTGAGAAAATTGTCAAATTAATTGAGATATTCAAGGCAGGTTAAAAAAATTCCCTTTTCTATTTGACATTGATGACTCGTGACTTCTTAGAGGTGGTCCCAAAGAAAACAGCAGTGTTACCGACGCAACAACACATCTTGGCATTTTCTGCAATAAGAACACTCTCTCTCTCAAACTCAGTTGATAATGCAGAATCATCTCTTCCAGATAATTTACATCTTTGAACAAACTTGCACATAACATTAATATGAGCTTTGGAAGTTTCATAAGCAACAATATCTCTTGCAACATTTCTCCAGTTAGAGTGCCCATCAACAAATGCTTGTTTTCTTTTACTCCGGTGAGGGAATAATTTGCTAACAACAGTAGACTGCCTTGGTGGTTTCCAAAAAATCCCAAAAAACAAAAACAACCAATTTCTCATTTCCATGGTCCCATTTTTCTTCATCCTCAGAAAATGGGATTCATGAAAGCCTCCAATTTCCTTTTGTCCTCCAACCTCATACTCTTTTCTCAAATATTTCATATTACCTATGTTTTTCAATTTATTTGCTAAGAAATATTCTACCATATCCAATAAAACAGATTTTGGCCATAATACAGTGCCTTCAGGATAGGTTTCTTCTCTTATTTTGACAAAATTACCAATATTTGTAGTTTCATTGCCACTTCAGAGTTCACCTGTTCAACATATGCAGTCATCTTGGTATCCCGACAACTCAGCTAGTGACTGAGATGTTTACTCGCCCATACTTTGATGAATGTTCTCTATTCAATACTTCAAGATTTTTTAAATAAGATGGCAAACTGTATTTTTGCATCACCTTGGGGTTTTTTTTACGTTTTTGATGGCCAGACTCATGGTATCGCTTCATTATTGCTAAAAAACTAACCTTGATTTTTAGGCACAATAAAAATGTCTGAAAGAGCAGGGGTATAACTATGGGTGTGCCTCGGTGGGCCATGGTCTGGACCACCCATTCTCCACTTAGATGTAACACCAGTGGCACTGGAACATTTGTAATAGTGGGGTGATGCAGGCCAGGCCCTGTCTCTCCTAGGCGCAGGTCCAGATCTGGGTGTGGGCCACAAGCACAGGAACTAAGGGATACTGTCAAAACTGAACCATCCCTCTTATTCTTTCTGTGCCTCAGTTTCCCCATTGGACTGACCTCCTTTACAAAGTGCTTTGAGATCAGATGAAAAAGTGCTCTATGTTGGGATCTTTATCTCCTAATACAAGAACAGCAAGGGCACTCTGTGATATTGAGCATTTACAACCAGTTGAAGGAATCACTTTGAAAAAAATCCCAGTATATAGTCAGCTGGAGGAATTCACTCCCCTCTGAGGACAAACACAGTAGAACTCTGAAGCCGTGTACAATGTATTAGCTAAGCCTGTGCTTCTGTCACCATCTAGTGGCCTACGAGTGTAGAAGCTACATTCCCATAGAACAAACATAAAAAACAGCAAATGGTCTCTAAGGTGCTGCAGGGTTAACAAAACAGGTTGATGGTATCATGAGCTTTTGTGGGCACAACCTATTTCAGCTGAAGAAGTGGGCTGTACCCACAAAAGCTCATGACATTGTCTACATGTTTTGTTAGTCTCTAAGGTGCTGCAGGACTATTTGCTGTTTAAGTTTTTTCAGTTACAGACTAACACGGCTGCCCCTCTGAAACCTTCCCACACAACAGATTATGTTCATATGGTATGGGCCTTGTGGTTTTAAATTATTATCAGAGGTTGCATCTCAGACTAGACCTAAATCTGTATTGGGAAGCCAGTATACCCCATGAGCCTAAAAGCAAAAGATGTTTGGACCGGAGATTTCACTTCAGGTTATTTACTGGCTGAGGGAGGAAGGGAAGTCTACAGTCTACACTTTTTTTATTGATTACTCCCCCAAGATTAAATTTAATCTGACAAAATATTCTTCCAATAAAAAATGTCTCTCTCTATTAAGGCTCTTAATCAGGGGTTCTTAAGTTAGCCAGGTGTGCGCAGAGATCTTTCAAGGGATACATGACCTCATCTAGATATTTGTCTAGTTTTACAACAGGCTACATAAAAAGCATTAGCAAACTCTACATAAACTAACATTTCATACACACAAATGCTGTTTTATACTTCTTTATGTACTGAAATGTAAATAATAGTTAATTCCAATTGATTTATTAATTATATAGTAAAAGGGAGAAAGTACACAATTTGTCAGTACTAGTGTGTTGTGTGACACTTCTGTATTTTTAGGTCTGACTTTCTAGGCAAATAGTTTAAGTGAAGTGAAACTTGGAGTGTGCAAGAGAAGTCAGCCTCCTGAAAGCAGTACACTTATCTTGAAAGGCTGAGGGTCACTTCTGTAAATCATTGAATAGATAAGTTCCACTACTCCTGGCTTATAATCAATGACTTAATTTAAGCCAGCTGCTAATGGGTTTTGCTTTGTGACCCTTGTAAGAAGTTTTGCTAGAACAGAAACTTGAGATCACAGGAAAGACTTTTCTTCATTAAAGCTGACCTCCTGCCCCTCTTGTTGAGGAGTAAGTTTAGGGTGTTCGGTTTTATTCAAAAAAAAGAAAGATACTCAAGCCCCTGGTTCCTCACCTGCTTCTGTGATGTCTTTGACAATTTGCTGGGCCAGGGTCCCTGTATAAAAGGCATCTGCTCCCTCATTGGCTAATGTCTCATAGGTATCTGCTAGTTTGGGCATTTTGATGACATTCCCCTTTTGTAGGATCTTTCCTCCTTTGCAGAACACTTCACTGGAAGAAAAAGGAAAAGGCAGTGAGAGAATCAGCTGTAGTATTGCACATCAGCAGTGACACCTTTAGCTTTGCATTACACACAGCATTTGGTCAAACAGCTTCCAGGAGAAAACCAGGACTGCTGACTTAGAAGACCTGCTATTCACAGGGTCCCCCGGACATATGTATCAAAATACATAATACCATGCATGCTCACTGAAGAGTCAAAAGGAATTCCTGCTCAGTGTAACCTACACTAGCAGATAATGGCTTTTTGCCCAGTAGTATCTGGTCTACATAGAAGAGCAAGACCACCACAGCAGCCAGCGACGGAGCTTGTCCTTGCGCTCAAATGGCAGAGGCTCATGCGGATGGTTCTGAAGTTCCCGAGTTCCAAGATAACTGTCAGTCCCAGGGGCATAACAGACACAAGATCCAAAGTGCTACCTACCACAGTGAAGGATTGCTTTCAATATTCTTCTGTTTTCCTTTCAAGGCATCTGCCAGTGCTTTACCAACTTGGAACCCCTCTCTTGCCAGCTTGATGTTGGGCAGAAAAAGGCTTTTCCATGGCAGCCTGCCATGCCGCTTATGAGCCATATCATATCCACGAATTTCTCCTGGCACCGCAATAGACAGGCCCCCTAAAACAATGGGGAGCAGACAGGGACTACATTAGGTCACTGGGCAAACACTGAGCAAAGACAGAGTTTTCTTTACATCTACCCATTTCTGAGAGTGGCTGAGTTGGGCAGAAAAAGGCTTTTCCATGGCAGCCTGCCATGCCGCTTATGAGCCATATCATATCCACGAATTTCTCCTGGCACCGCAATAGACAGGCCCCCTAAAACAATGGGGAGCAGACAGGGACTACATTAGGTCACTGGGCAAACACTGAGCAAAGACAGAGTTTTCTTTACATCTACCCATTTCTGAGAGTGGCTGAAGGATCTACCAGGTTTCTGAGCAAGGCTCCCCAGCAGCCCTTCAGCACCACCTGGAAGGCACAGTCCACGAATTCGGGGTGATTTAAAGGGCCAGGGGCATGGGCCCTTTCAAATCTCCAGGCCCCAAGGCAGCTGCCCCCCACCCCAGCTGGCAGGCCTGCCACTTCCAGAATGAGAAGAGACACCTCTCCACAGGCATATCCTCACTAGGGATGTTAAATTGGAATTTCCATCAACTCCATTAGTCAATAAGGGGGAAAACTGCAGAGCCACAGTGGGATAAATTCCCTGCTCCGGGAGCTAACCCTGCTGCAGCTCTGTCTTTTAAATGGATTAAGAGTCTTCAGGCTCTTCATACATTTAAAAGGAAAAGGCACAGTGCTGGGGAAGGAGGGGGGCGGAGAGAGACGAGTGTGAGTCAGGTGTCAGTTGTCCCCGTTTATCCTGGTCCTAGACACTGCGCCTCGGTCTCTGCAGGGGAGCTGACTTTTAAGCCGGCTTCCCCCAGCACAAACTCCTGCTCCCCCCCTTGCTGCCTCTCTTTGAAAGGCAGCAAGTGGGGGGAGCAACTAGTCAAGTATGTTTATTTGGTAAACAACTAGTGGCTTACTTCCCTAATCCTCAGTAGAGCTAAGCAAGCAATTTTTTGTTGTTGTTTGCACTGCAGTTGACAAACTGGGAGGAAACAATTGTTGTGTTCCAGACAGGAAGTTTAGTTTCTCACCAAAATGAAAAAAAAATAGAACAAAAAAATCTGGTTTTGAACAAAATTAATTCATTCAATTCAACACATTTTTTGTGTTGGTGATGATGTGTATACTAAACTATTTAATTAAACCTAAATGAAAACATGTTTCAAGAAGAGAAGTCAAAAGGTTTCATTTCAGAAATGTCTAAACATTCAGGTTTTCTTAAAGCTAATTTTTGTGGTAAATTCCGCCTGAAATCACAAAGTCCCCATTGGCCTAGAACAGCATTTTTTGGCAAATAAGTGATTACTGACTGGCTTCTGTCCCAAAAGAGGAGAAACACTACTGGATAGAACACAAACAGAACTAGGGCTGAACCATAGGTCTCACTGCATCCACCTGGTACCAGCTGCACTGGGATCGCTATTGGGTGTAGACATGAAGCATTGTAACCCATGTGGAAGGGATTTCAATCCATGGTTTGGTGCAACAACTTTCACGTCATGTATAAAGTTATTGACACTTCCACAAATTATCATGTATTTCTCAGATACTAGCTCTCCCTCCTCCGCAAGGCTTTTCCCCTTGCCCCTCAAATACAGATATACCCCAGCAAAAGAATTTTCTTTCCGAGGTCCCTTAAAGGTCTCTCGGAAGTCAGTTAACTTAGCTGACTCACGTCTTTATGTCATTTCCAATAAGGAGAATTTCTGCTTCTTCTCTAGATCCTCTAAGTCGGTGGTGCACCTTTTTTAATTTCCAGGAAAATTTTGGTTGAGCAAAAAAACCCCGGCTGGAACATTTTGTTGCAGCCCCTTTAATTTCAAGTGCACGTCTGTTCCTGCTACTCCCCCCTGCATGCACATCAAGCACCAAACCAAAAAAACAAAATGGTGACCAGCCCAGCACTGCAACCCCCAGAAAGACAGACACAGGTTGCACACCCTGCTCTAAGCCTCCAATTAGAGCCACCATTAATAAGACTGTCTGTCAGAGCTGAAGGAGGAAAGTGGTCAATATTAAACTGTTCCTGCAATACAAAAAAAAAAAAAAAAAAAAAAAGAAGAAGAGATATATATATATATATGGCCCCTTAACAGTTGTGTATTAAGATCAATTTTCTACATTGTTCTTTGTATGAATGAAACAGTGGGG